TAGAAACTGATTCTGTTGTCCCAAGGAGCACTTTGAAGCAGAATCAGTTTTGAAGGTGTTTGGATTTGGTTATAAAAGTGATTTTAAATGGCTGAAAATCAGATTTTTAGAATCTGGGTGGTAGCAGATTCTCCAAAACAGTTTCTGATTCTTCTAATTTTATTCCGGAACCTCCCCCCTCAATATACGATGCACACCACGTTGAACTAGGGCATTTGTTTTCTTTGCATCTTAGGACAGGCCAGAGCTCTTCCCACATGCGCTGTGCAAGAGCTTCTTCCCCGCCGATTTCCGGCATGTGGCTCTTCTCTTCTCCGTTCCACAACCCAGGTAAACCAGTGAGCTCTTCTCTTCTCTTTATTCTGGAGTTGTGTTTTTTTTATTATCCTTTATGTATATCAATTAATACCTTTATTCCATCATTGTGTCTTTGGTGTTTCACCCTTTTGGTAAATTTACATCAAAAGCGGTTTTTAAAAGCAAGTTATCCAAACACTCTAAATTGATTCTCTATTACATTCTACCTTCGTCCCTTAAAACTTTGTCAACTTTCTTTTTTGGATGTCCCACGAACTTTGTCACTCTCCATTTTAAGTAAAGAATTTATGGCTACAATCAATTCTCTCTCCTCTTCACAAACCCCTATCACATAATTTTTACTTTATTAATCCCCGTGTCGGTCAACTTGACAAAGTTTTAAGGGACGGAGGGAGTGCATCAGAATCAATACCAAACACTCCAGACAAAATCAGGGCCTGTTTACCAACATACATATTTCCCTGTTTTATACTTCTGTTTTTCATTCTCCAATTTTCTGTTTTTATTTTTCAGTTTTTCTATGTCCAGTTTTCTGTTTCTATTTTCTAGTTTCCATTTTCAAATCTAAAAACATGTTCATCAATTTTTTCACCCAGTTCTGTGATCATCCAGAAGACTGAAACGTTTACTTCACGAGTTACTAAATGGTGCTTATTAAAACTCGTGTTAATAAGCGGCGCATAAAATAAGCAATGTTTACTTCAAAAGGTTTAAAACACCGTTTAACATTAAAAATGTCCAAAATAACCCTATACATATATAGACACACAAACATTCATGAACACAAATATACTTCGTATAATATAATATGTGGGGTCGATCACCTCGTACGTGTACCCGTACTCCTAACCCCCACCCTGCCCCTATACCTCGTACCCCCACCCTACACCCTACATCCAATTCCACACCCTTGACCCATACACTTACCCTTACCAGGCCACGATCTTACACTCTACCCATACTCCCCTAAAACCCTAAATACCCACTCATACCTACTCGTAGGGGTCGGGGTAGGGAAGGAAGGTATGGGGTGGGGGTGGGGTAAGGGGTATGGTCGGGGGTGGGTGGAAAGGTCTAGGGGTACGAGGTTGGGTGGGGTAGTGGGTGGGTTAGGGTGGTGGTTAGGGGTAAGGGTGGGGGGTAGTGAGTAGGGTTGGGGTTGGGGTAAGGTAGAGGTAGGGTAGGGAGTTGGGATATGATGGCGGTAGAGGTAGGGTAGGGAGTTGGGATAGGTTGAGTTGGAATCGACATCGTAGCGGGACCGGACCCACCACTAGGTGTAAGTATGCAAATTCATTGCAGCGACATGTAGCATCTACGTTTTCCAAATTTGAAAAACTAGTAAAAATCACTTCTCCAAATCATTAAGGAAAAGAGAGATATGTCTCATTTTTTTCGTTTTGTAAAACGGTTTGTTAAACGCGTTTTTCTCTTTTCCTCAATTTTCCAGCAATTTTCCTCGTTAAACACGTTTCCTGTTTTCAATTTTCTAATTTTTCAGTTTTCTGAAAAACCGAAAATTATCCTTGTTAGTAGAGGGGCCCTCACTTTTAGTACAGAAGAAATTACGAGTATGATTCTAGTTCTCGCCTAAAACAGAATCTGAATAAGTTCCGCACACCCTTAACAATTGGTCACCGATCAGGAAAGCCAAAACTCGGTAAGTCGCGATGCCAGTCCAGGAAATCAACGCGCGGGTCCAACACCTCGCGATATGCAGCAACGGCGGAGGAGCTGACGCCGAGGCGGCGGTGTGGTCTCAGATCAAAGACGAGGCGAAGCGTGACGCTGAATCGGAGCCGGCGCTCGCCAGCTACCTTTATTCCACCATCATTTCTCATTCCTCCTTGTTTCGTTCCCTCTCCTTCCACCTCGGAAACAAGCTCTGCTCATCCACCCTTCTCTCCACGCTCCTCTACGACCTCTTCCTCAACACGTTCTCTACCGATCCATCCCTCCGGGCTGCCACCGTCGCTGACTTATGCGCCGCCCGTTTCCGCGATGCTGCTTGCATTTCCTTCGCTCACTGCCTTTTGAATTACAAGGGCTTCCTAGCCATCCAGGTTAACATTTTCCTACTTTCTAGTTTTGTTTTATATTTTCCCAGGCCATTTCCTAGTTTCTCAATGTGGGGATACGTGAATTGCTTTCTGGTTTTATGCTTCCTACAGGGCTACGTATGAACCAATATAAACTATAAACGCACCTCATAAATTTTAAAGGTTAGTAGAAAAGAAAGTTTTTGTTAAAAAGATTTGGCCTCGGTGCTCTTTCAATCAACTCTTATTTCAAGTTTGCGGTTACTGGTTTAGTAAAGCTGGCCTGTTTTGCTTTGCAGAGCTTGTGGTGGTACTCTTTCTTAAGTTATGCTTTTCTCACTTAAATACTGTAAAAATGTAACTTTTCCCATTATTAAAATCAAAGGATCGAAGTGGAAGTGCCAGTGTTGTGGAGACTTTACAAGCGGAACTAGTTCTTAGTGTATACTTAGACAGTTAAGCTTGACAGGAAACTAGGTTAATGTTTCCATCGAAGTACGATATTCATTTTGTAAATTTTCCATTTCCTACCTATCAATAGCAGAAACAAAGCTCCTCTAAAATGAACTAAAAATCAATTTGCAGGAAGGAAGTAACGGTATTACTTGATTTTGAATTTTTAATTAAAAAGTAATCAAGATTTTAGCCATAAAGATTGCTATTTACAGTTATACACAGTATACACAATTTTCTCTACTTGATGTCATTTCAATTATTTACTATACTGTATTACTTTTTTCATTTCTCTGCATATTCATTCATTGACTCATTGTACCCGCACGGGTAGCTCAGTTGGTTCAGTGATGGGAAATTTGGACCAAGTGACCAAGGTTCGAAACCCGCAGCGGCCGTGTGGAGGTCACAGAACCTGAAATAAGGCTGGGCCTCTGGTGCGCACGGGAAAAAGGCCTACCATCATTGGGCCGACTGAGTCATCGTGATTAACATCCTCCCAAAAATCCTGTCGGGTCGGGGTATGGGGGGCTCCTGGGGTGGGAGATTCCACCTTTTGGACCAAGTCATTGACTCATTGTAACCATCTTATCAGCTTGACCCTTCTGTGTAATAGACGAATTAATTGGTTAGAACTCTCAAGTTAATTGTATGATTGTCTGGATAAGTATGATGGTATACACACAATAGATTTTGGGTGGGTAAAGGGAAACTTGACTCTAATTACAAAATTAAAGGATATTACACACATATATGCTCACTTGAGCATGTCCATAAGTTTGACCTTCAGGTCATATTATTGATGTGTGATCGTATCTATTTTCTATTGTCCCCAAATGTAGGCTCATAGATTGGCACATAAGCTATGGCTACAGAACAGGAAACCAATAGCATTGTCACTGCAATCTAGGATAGCGGATGTGTTCTCGGTGGATATACACCCTGCAGCTAAGATAGGGAAGGGGATATTTCTAGACCACGCAACCGGAGTGGTGATCGGAGAGACGGCAATCATAGGGAACAATGTGTCAATGCTGCATCATGTCACATTGGGTGGGACCGGGAAGGCTGGTGGTGTTAGACATCCGAAGATCGGAGATGGGGTCTTGATTGGGACAGGGGCCACGATATTGGGAAATGTGAAGATTGGTGAGGGAGCGAAAATTGGTGCTGGGTCAGTGGTGCTGATGGATGTGCCACCACGGACCACTGCAGTTGGAAGTCCTGCTAGGCTAGTGGGTGGGAAAGAACAGCCAAGTGTTCATGAAGATGTTCCTGGGGAGTCCATGGATCATACTTCCTTTATTTGTCAGTGGTCAGACTATAGTATATAGTCATTGTTGTCGTCAAGAAATCTATAGTAGCGTCTATATTATCAACTGGTGCAAACATCAATGAGAAAATGGAATTCTGAAATGTAATTTTCTGTAGAGTTTTAATTTGTAAAGTATGCCACGACTTGTCTCAGTGTCTGAAATAGAACAAAATCATCATCTGCTGAAAACCCATATTTATTGGAGTTCATTATGGATTAAGATTGTGAATGTTTTTTGTCATTTTGCGTGTTTGGTGATATTTTGTGTTGAAAGCCTGCTGGGAATTTAATAATATAACAGCATTTCAAAAGCTGCCCTTTCTGGATTTGTGACCAGTACAATAGAGATTTGAGGACATTTTCCAAGGAAATCCTTCGGCCCCAATTATTCTCATCATAAGCATCTAAGCAAGTACGTATCCTGTTACCTTGTTAGTTTATTGAAATCGAATCGGTATTTGTCATGTCTAATGCAGTCTTTAATCAGTATTTATTTGGTTAGATCCCAAACCATCTTCCCCACAAGTACGCTACATACATCTCATTTTATGAGGTGGTTTCAGTGTACAATTACCCATAAGGTGCACATAATAATTGTTGTTGTTAATAACATATACAGATATACTAGTAATTAGTTTTTAGTAATTCGAAGTTTCAAACTTACATACTTCAAACCCAGACTACTAGCTCTAGTAAATCACATGAAACGGAATTTAAATGTGACAAAATTTTTATACCATCTCTACTCTAAATTAGTTTTCATTTTGGAGAAGGCACACATATTACAGAATTTTGAAACAAAACCATTTAAAAGCATCTAAGTTTTTAACTTTTGAAAGGATTTCTGTCCAAAATAAACTTTTTTGAAAGGATAGAAAAAGTATATAAAAATAGAAATTAAAAGTGAACATAATTAAGAGGAAAACAGTAACCGACGGAATTACTTAGAAAGTACAATATTACATAAAACATATCTTCAACTTTGGGACAAACTACTAGCCATTCAACCTTTTTTGAAACCAACAAACTTCGTTTGTCATATACGGAGTAGTTTACAACATTCTTAACATGCTACTCAATGGCAACACTAAAAGGGCACAGGAATGGCTTTAGAAATGGTATCATGTGACAGGATATGAATTGCCTGCAACTCAAGTGTTTCAACTGGTAACAATTGGTTGTCTTCTTCTATGTAGATCTTGTTGATCAAACGAAGCAAGACGAGCTCGAGCTCTTCCCCGTCCGTCCATTCATGGATCTCTGCTTTCACGAGCTTCCTATTTTCATTTATCAATTTCCAGACTGGAAAGAATTTCCTAGGCATCACAAAGTCTCCTTCTTTGAGCTTCAGGCTGGGGCAGAAATCACCAACCCCATCACCTAGATAAATGATTCTTTTTTCACCTTCACTGGCCAATGAGTCTTGAACTCCTTCTATAATCTTACCCTATTCACAATTAAACCGTGATTATAATACATTTAATTGTGTTGTCACGGTAATGTTTTAAGATTTTACTATTACAATTTTATGTTTGCCTTCTAAGCTCTTATTATGGGGAATATACTATGTCATGATGTTTTGTGCCCCCAAAAAAACATATACTCCTTCCGTCCCATTAAATTCTTCTCACTTTTCTTTTTGGATCGTCCCAAAAAATTCTTCTCACTTACCATTTTTGAACAATTTGTGTGGTTCACGTTCATTTCACCTTTTTGTTACACAACCATAATCATACATTTCCACTTTATTCCACTTTCTTAATCTCCGTGCCAAGTCAAAGTGAGAAGAATTTTATGGGAGGGAAGTAGTACTTTTGATTGTACACTTTTTATTTAGCAAGATACAATTATCATTTATCAGAAATAATGACTTATTTTTGTGTAAGTTTTTAAATTATTTTATTCATTTTATTATGTGTACAATTTTCTGGGAGTCGCTATGGTTTTAGGTAATTTTTATTAGATTACATGAAAATTATTCATTTAATCGAAGATATGTATGGGGGGGGGGAGTTGAATTGAAATAAGAGCTCTTCTATGCAGTCATATAACCATGGACCGGTTCCGGGCCGGACGGGGCCAGGCTCCGGTCCGGTCCTGGGCGGGCTTTTTATTGTTGGGGGAAGGCCCGGAACCGGCCCGGGTTTCCACCGGGTCCGGGCAGAGCCGGTCCTATTACTTTTTTTTTTTTGCTTTTCTAATTAACCCTGACCCCCCCACCCCAACCCCCCCAAAACACCCAGCCCATCTAGAGAAAACAAAAAAAATTGAAAAAACCAAAAATAAAAAAAAGGCCCGAACCGGTCCCGGTCCGACCGGGCCGGTCCCTAAGTCCCTGGGCCGGTCCCGGTTCACCGGGCAAGGCCGGTCCTAGGCCCAGAACCGGTCCCAATTCAACGGGCCGGGCCCACAAAGCGGCGGGCCGGGTCGGTTCCCAGGCCAGGCCGATCGGACCCGGTCCAACACTAGAGTCATACCATTTGAAAAAGAAGAGCTTGCATATTGATTACTCTTCGAGCTTGTGTGTACTTGAACTCCTTGTTTCAGTCTACTATGTTTAGCTCATAACAAAATTACCTCTTTTTAATGATATTTTAATGAAATTCCGTATAGAAATTAATTAAAGAATCTATTGAACTCGAATGTATAAATATTTATGAAAAAAATTGGTGATTTAAATATAAAAAATGGTTCAATAACAACACGAGCCAATCAAATGTGTACATTCAACATAATATGTTGGGAAAAAGGGTCAAATAGACCCTCGAACTAACTTAGAAAGTGCAAATCATCCTTATATAGAAGACGCTGTCCGGCCGTCATCATTTGGAGAGGTTCCCGGTGAATTTTTTTGATGAATTCTTTTGAGCATCTTCTTCATTAAGTCTAGTTTACCCATACCAAATTTCAGATAAAAATTCAATCAAGCAGACAGTCAAATGATTTTCTGAAATGTGGTTAAACTAGACTTCCCGGTCTGAGTTTCTGTTTAACTGCGCAGTTATTTTGAAAAAATCATTTGACTGCCTTCCGAGTCTGAGTTTCTGTTTAACTGTGCAGTTATTTTGAAAAAATCATTTGACTGCCTTCCCGATAGAATATTTAGCTGAAATTTGGTATGAGTAAACTAGACTTAATGAAGAAGATGATAAAAAAAATCATTAAAAAATTCCACCGGGAACCGCCTCAAATGGCGACGTCCGGACAGAGCCTTCTATATAAGAGGTAATTTGCACTTTTTAAGTTAGTTCGAAGACCTATTTGACCCTTTAGCCTAATATGTTTTAAAACGTGGAAGTAATTATTCTGCTGCAACTAAATAAGAACAAAGGAGTTTAAAATATAAAACCATGCTTTAAAATGTTTGTGACACCAAGTATTAGTACCTTGCACATGTTAGGAGGACAAAGATTATTGCAGCCATGAGAAGAAATGTGAAAGTCATGGTAAGGGATGATCCTCACCCTTCCTTCTTTGTCCACATAACCTGGGTTTGTTTTTATCTCAGAGAAGCACTCCCTTATCCCATGGTGTTTCAAGATTGTCTCGATGAAGAACAGGTTTGCATCACTTACTATTCTCAAATCACACCTAAAATGCAGTTAGCAATCTCATATCTTCAATTCGTGTACCAGCTCAAAAACCAAAACGGAGGAAATGATGAAAAATGGATTAAGATATATTTTTGGTTTACCCTATAGCAGAAAGGGATTGAATGGTGGGGACAATGCGAGGATGAACCGGAACCCGTTTGAGCACTTCCTCGACATCTTCAGCCGTCTTCCCATTCGCGTGCAACTCGTTCATCATTTTGTCCTACAACAACGATCATATCATTAATGTGTCAGAGCAACTAGGTGTGTTCGTCACTTGAGTTTCGTAGGTTTTCGTTTTCATGAGCTCAGCTTCTTGTAGCCTTGTAGGTCGTTTTTCGAAAAAGGTGAAGCCGAGAATCGAACAACATTATTTAAGTCGATTTCAGTCGGTTTAGATTCGGTTAATTTCGGTCGATTTGTTTCAATTTTGGTCACTTTTAGCACGTTTCAGTCGGTTAAGTCGGTGTTTAAACAAAAAACAAACCATAAACATAATGGCCAAGGGTTGGACCAGTTTTGATCGGTTTCAGTTTCATTCGGTTTGACTCTGATCGTTTGGTTTCAATGGGTTTACCGTTTCGGGTTTTCAATTTTTTGTTCACCTCTAGGAGCAACCTACCCAATCAAAAGGAGAAACAGAGAGAGGCCGGACAGGTCTTTGATCTTTTAAAAGAAAAAAAGTTTTACTTATATTTTATAGTAAAAAGTTTATATTAAAACGGTGTGTATTTGGAAATATACAATCACATAAATAACTATGGCACACCCACTAATATTTGAACTAGACACATAGTCAATGGCTCTAATAACACAACAAAATCATTATATACATGTACATTCCTTCTGTCCTTGAAAATTCTTCTCATTTATCTTTTGGGGATGTCTCAAAAAATTCTTACTATTTTCCTTTTTGGAAACTATTATGTGACTAACATTCATTAGCTTTTTTCTTACTCAACCATAACGATACATTTCCACTTTCTTAAACTCCGATTCAAACTAACATGAGAAGAATTTTGAGGGAGTGTGTACAAATATGTACTACGTATAAGTATTTATAATCCGTACAGATTAGAGAACATGTTAAAAAATTAAAATTTGGTCTTCAATATAAATCTTTTCTCCAAGACTGCTATTAGGCAATCTCCAACAGTTTACACCATTTTTATCACTAAAATGGTATAAACATCACATCATACAATACTTTATCTCCAACAGTTTACACCATTTTTATCATCAATAAGGAATATTCTTTTTTATTCATTTTACTAACTTTTTACCATTATTAAATTTAATTATCTAATTATCATATATTTATACATTAGCCCATCATTTATTATTTATTTTGGCATTTCACTCATTATTTAACAAATAAGAAATACTACGTACAAACTAAAATACTACTATAATCAATATTTACGCATATTTCACTCATTAATCAGTATTTATTTATCAACTTTATAATTTAAATAAAAAAAATAAAATTTGTTATTGTAACCAATTTTATTAAATTTAACAATTAAATTATGAAAGAGAAATATGTTGGTCCGATCCTTTATATAGTACACAACCGTGGGTTCTAAATAGAAGGAACATCCGAACATGCTAAACAAAATGGGCCATACTATAATAGTTCAACACTTCGGGTCATTTTTGAAATAACAAAAAATCAAAAAATGAAGATAGCGCAAGCTTTTCCTTGCGCCATATATGGCGTAAACAAAATATCTCTCCCTCATTTTAGTGAAATGGTGATGCATTTGGTGTAGCTGTTGGAGCAAAAAATGGCAAATCCCCCATTTTGGTGAAACATTTAGTGATTGTTGGAGATGATCTTAGTACATTGAAAATAGTAAGAACCGTGTTCTTAATTTGAGTGCTATTGACCTGTTATTGACTTGTTTTGATATCTCAATTATTAAAGGTAGCAAAACCTGCAAAAAAAATTATAGGATTGACATAGATTTGACACATATTTTTCAAAAATTTCGTGCCAAATAGCTCATGTCAAATCATTTTTGGCACGGATTTAGCATAAACCTGCCAAAATACTTGTCAATTTTGGGAAATTCTTGTCAAAAATTCCTGTCAATCCCATATTTTTTTTACAAGTGCATATTTGTATCTAAATTGCCACAAATTTGGATTCAAATTATGTGATTTGATTTGATAATCCAAACTCAACGTCTATATCCTAAAAAAAGGTTTGTAGGGAACGTAATTCACATGAATGCTTTTTTCAAACTGACACGAGTGTCATCACATTTGTAATAGGCTTATAAATTGGACGTAACTACGGGCTTACAAACCCAAATTGAACATAACTCATTATTGTATGCCTAAAAATTTTGTGTAAAGAATTCCTCCTTCCTTCTCCCTTACCATTTTTGGACCGTTACAAAAAATTCTTCTCCCTTATCATTTTTGGACAATTTGTGTGGTTCACATTCATTTCACATTTTTCTTACACAACTACAACCATACATTTTCACTTTACTGCACTTTCTTAATCTCTGTGCCAACTCAAAGTGGGAAAAATTTTATGGGACGGATGTAGTATATGTAAAAACTCATTCTACCGCACATACTGATAGATTAGTGTTTTTTTTTGAAAAAATCTCTAATTAGATTAGTCAAGTACAAGTAATTTTTAGGAAAACCCGTTGTGAATTCACGTTCTATATGAAAAGAAAATTAAGTAAAGCGCGCACCTAAACGGGTAAATTCAAATTTGATCATAAACGGTTCGGTCTTGATCCGGCCGTGTTTTTAAGGGTCGAAGGTCCTCAAATTCCCTTAGGCCTTGTTTGATTCAAAGGAGGGGAGGGAAAGGGAGAGTCAAGGAGGGAAGGGAAAGGGAAGAAAGGATTTTGATAAAATTTTATGTTTGATTGGAGGAAATATGAGGAAAGGTTTAAGGAAAATATTTTTGCAATTTACTTTTCTTTAATAGCTTACTTAAAAAAAATAGATACATGTCTAACAATTGTGAATATTACTCCTATGGTCATGAGTCATAATTTTATTTTATTTGATTTTTTCCTTTTTTAATTTTATAATTTTTCATTTTTCAGTTTGGAATTTTTTATTTTTTATTTTTATATTTTAAATTTTTTTATTTATAATTTTTAAACTTTTTAATTTTTAAAATTTTTAATTTTTCAAAACTTTTTGTTTTTTACCTTTTTATATTATAACGTTTTGTTCATTCACGTAGGAGATAGATAGTTTGTGGTTATCAACATGTTTCCTCCCCTTCCCCCCTATTTTCTTCAACCAAACACACACAAATCCCCCATTTTCCTTTCCTCCCCTCCGAAACTCTCCAACCAAACAGGGCCGTGAGCGGGGGCGTATCTCGGTGAAGGCAATGGGGGCAATTACCCTTTCAACCTCAACCCAGACACCTAGCTTCTAGCATCTCTCTATATATATATATATACTCGTATAATCTAAAATTTTATAGAAAATTGTTTAAAATAAAAATTAGATATAGAAAAAAATTCTAAAATAGGATTAACAGTGTTTTCTCCTCTAGGTAGACCTGTACAAAAATAGACCCGGCCCGCAAAAACGGGCCTAACCCTATATTCATACCCGCCCATAAGAGCGGGCCGGGTAGTCCACCAGACCACCTGGCCCGGGAAAACTTTATTTTTTTCAAAATTATATGATTTTTTAAATACTTTAAAAATAATATTACAACATTTAAAAGTAATTAATACGCTTATAATGTTTATACGTCTTTCACCACATACAAAAAAATACTTACACAAAAATAATAATGAGAAACTATATCTAAAATTTAAAATTTAAGCACAAAGTATTATCTTTAAGTAGAAAAATAGATATTATATTGGTGGGCTAGTTGTTAAGAACTAAAAATTTAAATTTAAACATAATAAATTATAAATATGTATAAAGAAAAATTAGTAAATATAAATATACATGTGTATATGCAAATAAATAAATAAATTAGTATATATATAAAGATTTGTGCGGGCGGCTGGACGGGCTGGGTGGACCGGCCCGATTTTGTCCATTTCTACGTATACTACGTAAGATTTATGTAATCCGATTAAAAGAATAAAATGATAAAAAATGAATATATTTTGTTATGTTATTCTCTATGTATATAATTTTCTAAAATGTTATCTACAATTGCATTTTTGAGAGACAAAAATGAAGAAAAACAGAATGTTGAAAGAGATGAAGAACATGAGGGAAAGAAACCAAAGTGACCGACCATGAGAGAATTCCAAGGCATTGTGGGAAGAAGGTGGTTGAAGAGAGGAGTGAAATCCAGGCGATCCACAACCCAGTTATCGCTGTCCACCTCGATTATGGTCTTGTCAAAATCAAACACAACAATCACTTTTGCCCCCATTCTAGCCATCTACCCTGCCCAGTTCAGCTATCTGTCTGGAAGGTTATGTATGAATGTAGATGGGTGGAGGATGTAAGAGACAATTTCAAGAATGATGTATTGTTATTATCTAATTGATTGGTTTGAGCTGGTTGAATTGGAGAGGAAGCTCAAGATTGATGCGGGTATATGTAGGACTTCCAAATATGAACGAACAAAGGTACACACTTTTTACACATGTTCGTGTAAGGTTTTCTTTTTTTCTGTACAGACAAAACGTATTTTGTCAAATACGTTTTGTCTGTACAGACAAAAAAACTTGCACAGACATGTGTAAAAAGTGTGCACACATAAGTGTGTATCCCAAATAAAGCTCAATATGAACAGGCCGGGGCTTGTCTTCCAGAAATACCACCGTCTTCCAACCGAATTAATCTGAATTTTAACATAAAAGGATGACCTCATCACCAGCGTTCCCAGCATCGGTGGGATAGTTAAAGTTTTGACTTTAGCCTATGTATGCTTTTAGAGCCTGCTTAGGGACTCCATTTTTCGTTTCGAGAGCCTTATCAACCAACTTTTTAATTTAATACGTAACTTTTGATTTCACGCACGGAATTTTGTAATATTAAGAAAAGTAAGGTTGACGTTACATTTCTGGTTGTACTGAGTAAAGTTACTGTTGATGACCATTTTAGCTATTTTTATATACTTTTTCCATTATTAAATTTATGAAATATAGGCTAAATGGTCAAATAGGCCACTGTACCCTTCCGGATTGATCAATTTGTCACCCGATATTAAAAAAGCTCCAATTAGCACGCTGAACACTATAAAAAGATTCAAATTTAAATTTTTGCAAGTCACAATCCGATCACCGCCACGTCACCTGGTAGTGTTTCAACCGTGCATGTGACATGGCAACTTATGTGATCAAATAAGCCACTTAACTCGATTAAATCGTTCAGTTCACCGCCTCACCCCTTAAGAAACGTCACAATTAAGAAAAATAGAAATGAAAAATGAAAAAAGAACATAAAAAATAGAATAAAAAATAAGTCAAAATATAAAATATAAATATGAAATATTTACATTTTTTGGTAAATTCAAATAAAGAATTAAAATATGAATATTTATAATAAATAATATAAATATGTAGTTACTATTTTTATATTTTACTCCCTTCGTCCCTTATAACTTTGCAAACTTTCCTTTTTTGGATGTCCCGCTAACTTTGCCACTTTCCCTTTTAAGTAAAGAATTTGTGGTTCCAGTTAATTCTCTCTCATCTTCACAAACCTCAATCACACAGTTTTTACTTTATTAGTCTACGTGTCGGTCAAACTTGACAAAGTTATTAGGGACGGAGGGAGTAATTCTTATATATGAGTAATTTTTATATTACAATAGATATAAAAAGTGTAATTAGTAACTTTGAGAAAAATAGTCACATAAAAATTTTATATTTATTTGTAGTATATTTTTAAATAAATTAAAAAATTTGAAATAAAAAAATACAATTGGATAATTTAAACATAATGCTTTGTATAAATTACCAAACCAAAAACCTAAAATTTGTGTTATATTACAAACCATTAGAGATAATATATAAAATAAAAATTTAAATATAGTTCTTAAAAATACATTCTCTATTTCTTATATGAAATATACGTAGTAGTTATAGAATATGGAAATAAAGTTAAAGATTTTATTTTATTTTATTTTATTTTTTATTTTAAATTTACCGTAAACAATAAATATTTCATATTAATATATTTCATATTTTTAAAATGTGTTTTATTTATATATTTTTTAGTTTTAATTGGTTTTCAAAATTTTGACATTTTTTAGGGTTGAGGGAGTAAATTGAACAATTCGGTCAGGTTCAGGGGCTTATTTGACCACTTAAGTTACCATGTCACATGCACAGTTCGCACCCTACCAGGTAACGTGCTCGTGACCGGAATGAAACCTTCAAAAGGTGAAATTTGAATTTTTTTATCGAGTTTAGGGTGCCAATTGGAGTTTTTTTGTTTCAGGGCAAATTGAGCAATCAGGAATGATAGAGAGACATATTTGACCCTTTAGCCTAAAATATATTTTAAATTTAATTTTTTATAAATCAGCAGAATCACCAAATACAACCACTTCAACCATAACGCCATAAATTTCAGCAGAATCAACCCATTCAACCGATTTTCGTGCTAGCAAACGGGCTCTTAGCTTAGGATGCTTGAAATCGATTCTATTTCTATTTTTTAAAAAAGTAAAAGTAAAACAAGAATCACTTTTTCAGCGATTAATTACCTCCCAAATTCTCAAAAACTACTTTTATAAGCAATTTGAGCAATTGTAAGTATTTATCTAGTTTCACTTAAACAGTTCAATATCTATCTATGTTCCTAAGAGAGTACAAATTATTTTTAAAAACAAATTCAAACATCCTTTAATCTGAGAAGTTGGTTTTTCAATTTATAAAAGAAAAAATGGTACCTAATATATGTGTTTTCATTTTAAAAATACGACATTTTTTACTTTTTCTAAAAAAGTGTTATCACATTATTTACCTCTACTATTTAAAGAAAAAACCATTTATATTAATATTATTAGGATTATGAGGTGAGTTGCACCTCATTGATCTCTTTTTGTGAATGAATGGGTAGTGACTCATTAATCATAACAATCGCTAAAGTACACATTATATTATACATACTAAGACTATCTTTTGGATTTCGTCGTCGACTTGGGCACATCTACGGCTCAACCGTCTACGTTGCTATCCAAATGATGTAATCTGTGGAAAGAGCTGGAATATGAAAGAATATTCGCATATTTTGTGTCTTTTTGGCATCATCGTTTTGTTGCTTTTAAAATTCATTGTGAAAAAATGAATAATGAAATGATCCATATGTATGATTCATGTGGTTTTTCAAATGGGCGAAATAAAAATAAAATCACTATTGTATTACTCCCTTGTTTCCTATTATATCTTTCAACTTTCACTTAACTTTTTGGTAATAAATTTGTGGTTCACAACATTTCTTACACATTTCTCTCTCCTATATGCACACCTCTTCACCACACAATACGCACTTTTCTTAAATTGTGTGTCAAAGTGAAATGAAAGATATAATAGAAACGGAGGGAGTATTACATATCTTTTAATATACAAAATCAAGAGACAATCTTTCCCGCCCAAAGTGTCGGGTCACAAAATGGATTCGGGTCAAGCGTTGTGAAAGGGTTTAGCATGCTCACAATTTTGGTTGTCATTTAAAGCACATTTAAGTAAGGTGACAACTTTTATACGCATTTAAAAAATAATTATATCAATTTTTAATTTTAATTTAAAATATTCAACTAAAACATTCTGATTAGTTAATGTGAGATAAGTTATGAATAATATAGAATCTACCTTAATGTAATTGTACTACGTGTCAGATTTTTGTCACCAAAGTGAGTTGTCTTTAAGTGGCGTGGTAAACATGGTAAACATGGAAATTCCTTTTTCATGTCATCAATTGCAATAGGTGGAAATTAGTCTGCAATGTGTTGTCAAATCAAATTTAATGTGAAGAAGACCCAAAGTGTATTGTATGCTACTGCGTATTAACTATTCGTTTTATTAAAAAAAGATGATGTCCCATCTCTAAGACCTCAACCTCGACCGGACGGTACGTTGAGAAGATGTAAGTTGGACTATAATCTCAATTTGATAGATAGAGAGTGGGACTTCGTCCCCGGTACTTGCAGAGGTCCTAGCATTTAACATAGTCACCTCTCATCGCAGTTGTCGGGATTCGAACCCGGGACCTAACCCTTGTGGCACCCCCTCGCTACTAGTTGGGCTACGCTCACCGGTAACCATTGATTTTATTTTGCATACAAAGATAAGAAAATAACTTGAAATAGCAGATCATCAATCGGTTAGGGACCATTGAATGAAGATGGGGTGCAAAAGTTGGATTATTCCCGAATAATAAAAATGTGGAACTATTGTAAGAAAACCGCTAAAAGGTTGAATTATTAGTTTCCATTTTCCCTAATACGTATTACAATGAAGCACGTTATATAATTTTTTGGGGATAATATTACTCCCTCCGTCCCGCTAAAATTGTCCCATTTTACCTTTTCGGGAAATCTCACTAACATTGTCCCATACCAAATTTGGTAAATTTTGTGTGGCTCTAAATCATTTTTACTTTATTCTTACTGATGGATAGTCTACCCGGGGGTAGCTTATCAAAGGGGTTATTACGGGGGATAACTAGAGAGAAGTCAGAACAAGTAAATAGAGAGGGAGAGAGTATATTAGAAATGTATTCAGCGTTTTTTGCGTCTTGTGTCTTGGTTACAAATGGGGAAATGGGGTGCTATTTATAGCAGCAATAAATGCCAGACAGGGACACGTGTCAAGCACCCATTGGCCGAGGGGTCGCCTCAACTGGTTGGCGCTGGCAACCGCATGTGGCCGCATTTAATGCGGCTGTTGGATGTGACGTCGTACTGGGTACGGTGATCTATACGCATGTGGAGCGGATATTATGTCGGAAAAGGTGCCCTCGGCTGTAGGTGATTAGCCGAGGGCTCTGAGTAACGGGGACCTCCTTAGTGCCGAGGGCTCTAGGTGCTGAGGGCTACTGGTTTTCGCCGTTTTCTCCCAGTAACTTTGTTTTCCTGTTTTGACCCTCCTGTGAGAATCAGAGCCTTCGGCCAGGGGACCGAAGGCACTCCTAGCGCTCACTGTGGGCCGCTTGGTACTCTGGGCGCCGTGATTTGGGCCTGTTGTGCTTCCTGGGCCTATTGGGCCTTTATTGGAGTAGTAGGAGTCTGTGGACCGGGGGTTCCCGGGCCATATACTCCATCACTTACTTTATCAATTTAATATCAACCACACAAACCCACTTTTCTTAATAATCGTGCCACCTTCTTTTGTCTCAATCTTAGTGGAACGGAGGTAGTAATAATTTTGAGAAATAAGCGATCAAAGTTTAACAAGTTTGATCTAAAAAGTTGGATAGCGACTATAATTATGAAAGGGAGAGAGTGTGAATCTATTTCATTTGGGCTTGATCATGATTCATGACTCCCTAGGAAGTGCATTGTTTTTTCCCGGATTTAAAGTAGAGTAAATTCCCTAAATAGGACTAAAAGAATAGAAAAA